TCAGTGTTAGGATTTTTCTCGTATCGCAACCTGGTTATGTGCCCGTGAAACATTTAAAAAGAAACTAAGTGGTGTAATTTGAGCTAGCTAGGTAGGTGCCTGTTGGATGGTCGTTTTGACTGCATACCATATTGCACACAGCAATACATTATGTAGTATGAACTTTTTTGATACGGTGAGTCATATGGTGGGATTAAATCGTGCTATACTTATGTGAACAGAGTAACTTAGAATATTCTAATAAAATTACATGACCTACGGAGGTAGGAAAGTCATGTGATGTTCCAGACCTGCATTTTTGATGTACCTAACAGAAAATCCATCTGAACTAAATTCAAAAATCAAAATTTCTTCCAAAGAAATGGAAGAAGCAACAAAATACCCCTCTCTGAATCTTTAGAATAATTAATTTCATTAATTAAGTAAAATACAGTATACCTATACCTAAAGTAAAACAGAGATTTTCAAAGAATGCCTTTTATAGCATGGAATGGTGATAGAAATAAAATGCACTTTATCAACGTCCCTTTTAACTGTCTCGTCCAGTAATTCTGAGACTAACTCTCACGCACTGTGACGTCCTTTAATGTGTTTTATTAAAGTCGATTGCCACTTAGTCGTAAACGCACACTCGGTACATTTAAGTTCACCAGAAATGTGGCACACCCTAAAGTGATTGGTTAAATTTGCCTTCCACCTTGTCACAAAGTCGCACCGGTCACAATTAAATTTTTCGAATTCATGACACCCTTTCACATGCTTAATTAATTTTCCTCTCATTCTCGTGGTAAAATGGCAATTGTGACATTTGTACTCGATGAAACCGGGTGGGTCACACTTTACACTTGCGAGATTGGACTTGCCCAAATACCTTTTCCACTTCATCGAGGAGCTGCAATGGTGACAACTGAATGCTTCCAAACCGTGACATCCTTTCGCGTGACTAATTAGATTCGATTTCCAGATTGTGACAAAGTCACACTCGGGGCATTTAAATTTTTCTCTATAACGGTGCCCAGAGTGACGGCCTCTGATATGAGTTCTTAGACTCGTTTTCCACATTGTAGTAAACGTGCATTGTTCACAATGAAATTCTTTTAGCTTGTGGTAACATTTCGGGATCAAAACTCCATTTTCATTTTGTAATTGGTTCAGTTGTAAGTTCGATAGATTCGTTTTTTTCAATATTGCGCCTAGTCTTGCACGTAGTTTATCCTTCAAGTCTCTACAAGTCAATCCAGAGCATTCTTCTGTTGCTACAAAAGTTTCTGTGAACGGATCCCCATTGCTACATTCCTGTTTTATTTCTAAACTGTCGGAATTGTACTCTTGACAATGGACAAGCACTTCGTCTTCTTGTTTAATTTTAACATCAAATTGGATGCAAGGCACTTCTTCTAAATCTAGTGGTTCCTCTTTAATTTGCATTTCTCTGTTTTCTATAGACATGATCCACAACAAAAACAAATGACAAAGAGACGAATAGAACTACTGTAATGAAACTAGAACTACCGGTACGATCATTACAACTACTTTGGAGTCTGTTCAAAGCATACAGGGTGTCTCGGATCGAAGGACACCTGCTTATTAAAAATGGAGATTATGTTTGTAGCTTATGTTATGATGCATCTTCTGCTGGCGTTTCAAACAAATCTTTAGGATGCTTACGGTCAACGCGGGGCCGTAGTCAGGGCAGTGTGCTGAGCCCTGGTAAAAAAATTCAGTACTGATACTCAAAACAACAGAGAAATAAAGAACCGATAAAGCTATATAACCATAATTTTAATAACGCATAAGTACATAAATTTTTTACAACTGATTTTTAAACAATATCAATTAAAATTATAACAATTTTCAACTATTAATATTGTAATGTTGCAATTTAAGTCGGCACGACGTGAAATATTCCAAATCCCCTGCTTTAACGGAGTCGCGTCAGATTATATACGTTAGCAGCAGATGCCACCAACTCACCAGTCACCACCACCACACCTGACACCAGTAATAAACAGTCTATCTATTGGGTCGGTTGTTTCCATATATATAAAAGATCAAATTCTTATTCTATTCTGGATTTGAGTACTTACTTTTAGATCGAGGGATTGATATATATGGTTGTTTCTTATTTGTTGTAACGAGTATTCGGCTGCAGTTTATGGTGGTTACGAAATAAGTGACATTGGAATTGAATCTGATTGTTACGTAGTAAAAATAGTAACTCTACGTATATTTGGTAAGTAACTATGGATTTTAAGATTATGTACCTAATACAAGTTGAATTTAGTAGGTATACGAGTAGAAACAAATGAAGATCAGACATTTCAGATAGTGAAATCAATGTTGAAAACGAAAATAAATCAGAAAATGTTACATCCACATCTGCCAACCTTAGGAGAGCCTATCAGACAAGTTATATTGCCCATTTTTTTAAGTACCTGAGTTTAATTACACGTAAGTATACTTATAATTCAATAATAATAATTTGAAATTGAAAAGTGATATGTTATCAAACATCTAAGGCAGGACCCCCTTACCTTAGTTCTAAACAGCATGGAAATTAAGATGGTCTTGGGGGGCAAATTCAACGTTTACAACAAAATGTGTGGAAATGATCGCATCTATTTATAGATATATATTCTAAAATGAAATCCTTTGAATAAAATGATAGACCATATAAGGTAAAATTACAAATATTAAAAAAAGAGATTCTAAACCGAAGAGTTTTGTGTTAGCAGAGTTCCACCCCTGGAACAGGTAAGTAGCGAATTATGGGCCCTCATTCGAGATTTCTCAGTTTATACTTAGTTCAGATTCGCGAACAGTCCCGGCATTAGGTGTCGTAACTAATGCGGTTACAGTTATTTATCAACGCTGGGGCCGTCTCATTTACGGCGAAAATGTTAGTTTACCAACAAGTCCATACACACATCAAACAATTCGATAATTTCCGCATGTTTAAAAGGATGGTCAACATTTATAAATTTAAGTTGGGGTCAAGACCATATAGTAAAAAAAATAACTGTAAATTCAGTTCACATTTACACCAAAAATGAAAATGATTAAACAATAAAGGCTAACGGAATTTTTCATATATGTGATGCATTGAAGTTAAATCATGCCAATTTCAAAACAAAGATATGAAATGTTAGGTATATACAAAACACAAATAAATTATAAAGAAATGCAGAGATTACTACTTGCATTAAATAACATTCAAGATACTTTAGATTCTGTAAGGTAAAGTGTACGGTACAACTATAACACCCTGTAGATCGGTAACGAAGCGTTTGCGAGCCTATGTTTATATGTATGAACTATTAGTAATAAGCGAAAGAATTAGTTTCTTCTGAATTTACATCATATTTAGGAACACCGTGTATATTATCCTTATGAAACAAATCTCGAACCAAAAGAGTCAATTAGAGTAGACACAAAGGCGAAAATAATTTTTAGGTTAAAATCATTGAACTGCATAAAGTATACTCTTAACTGGAAAGGTGTCAATAACCAAAATCGCGTGTCACCTAACGCAGGCTGTGGTCCTCATTCTTATGTGGCACGTTGTTTGCATAATCATCCTTGTTTGGCACGTTGTTTTGTAAAATGCATAAACACCCTGACGTGAGTAAAACACGGTGAGGTCGACTCATCTCTCTCGTCACGGCGCCCTTGCAACGTTGTTTACACGGTGTCATATTGTTCATGCTTAATTTATTAAACTTCTCGTAGCCAGGCATTAAATATTAGCCTGCGAACAGTGGCTTCTATTCCACAAATTTATAACTGGGGCAAACCTCTAGAAAGTCCTAAAAGACCAATGAGATGTAAGAAACCCGTTAGCGATGTGGATGGTTTCACACAAGTAACGATTCGGAACTCCGCTACGCGTTGTACCATTAAACTCGTTGCGTGTGCTTTAAAGACTTGATTATACCCTATGCCTCCTAATAAACTATTTTTAAAGCGTGTACGTTGAAATGTATCAAATGTTCCAGAGAAGCATGTGTATTTTTACATAATTTCTCTTATAATTATACGTCCAACCAGCTGGAAACATAAACGTTGACTTTTTGGAAAAAATATGACGTCCCTAGAATCTTGAAATTCGTGCCCTGATTTTTATTGTTACACAATTTGAAATGTTATGTGGATTTTCTTTTACTTTTGTTAATTTAGTTCGTGTATTTGCGTGGGCTATGCAAGGGTTTTTGTCCCGAAGAAGGTTTCCCTGTCATCGCCTGGTTGTGTGCATAACATATTTGATATGTTCTCGTCTTTTCTTACGCACAAAATTAAGACTTTGTATTCAGTTCCCTTTCCCATTTGTGTATAAAAAGAACCGCCAGTTTGAACACAGACTGCTATTCATACTCGGAAGTGCCGCGAAATGTCCGTCGTTTTGACATGAAAGTTAACGGTGGCTCTGCTTGTGAGTATGGGGGTAAGTCGCTTCTCGACTTCTGCCGCTAAGTATTGCAGGCATACTGCAGACATTTTTTGTAGTAATTGGTCAATATAGAAGTCGTTTATGTAAGGGGTATCCTACCCACAATGCAGCACTGTCCATATGGCTGCCTACATACGTATTCCCTTCAATTGATTGTACGACGCAATGAAAACATCTTAGCGATGATAAAGTATAGATGGGATGAATTATTGAATTCGTCTTTCGAAATAGCAATAACACAACATTAATAATATTCTACTATATTTTTTTGTAGTACAGTATAAAACTTTCTTAAACTAAATTAAACAAAAAAAAACGATAAAGTTTGTAGTTTGTCGGTATAAAATAAATGTACAAATAAATCGCAAGCGCAACATTCCCAAATTAAATTGCGCAAAATGAACAAAATTACGATCGAATTGTCTAAAACAAAATTGAGCTGCTGAATGCGACTGGTAAAAATTAAACCTAATCCTGTTAAACCTAATAATACAATTATTAGTTAAAACTAAAAAATCACAAAATATTGCAATTTAATAATAAAAGTGACACACTAGAAATGATCGACTTTAACCGAAACTCTATTAGTGGCGTGATTGCTTGGTAACAATATATTATCCCAATCGGTATGTATATCCTTCTCCGAGTCGGTCGCCTTCAAACTTATACCTAGACTGGGTAGAGTATTTGCGTAATGGGGAATACTTAGAATCACAGGCTTCAAAAATTCAGTACCTTGTGGTCCACACATCACTAGTGGCGACAGCATGGTTTCACCTAAAACAGAACGGCTTATAAATGTAAAACGGTCAGAGTGGTCGTAAAACGTGTACACTGGTATTAATTTTGTATACCGTTTTCTAAGTCCAAAGGCGGCGCAGTATTGCAAAGTCGTGGATCGGTGATGACGAAATATACCTCCTGCCTCCTACCTTCGGGTATAGCATTTTTCGGTATATCTAAAGACACCCCCCAGTAATGATTTATCAGCGTGGCCCCGTTCGTGTCCACGACGGCGCACGTCACATCCCTGCTATTTTGTATGTTGCCGTAAATGTGCGCGTCGTCGATTTCTTTTCGATTCTCTACCTTTTTACCACTCTTAGCCGAGCCGTCTTTGTTTCTGTGCTTAAAGAGGAACTTTCTAAAAAGCTGCGGTGTACTTAGGCCGTCTCGCTTACGATGATTAAATGATTGTGTTTTGGTCAGCTTAGGCGTTATTTTGTTTGGCGTGTTGTTAGTAGCGGAGGCATTATTCGTGTAAATGTGAGCAATGTTAGGTTGCGATCCGTAAAAAGCATATTGCCTCTCATCCCTTAAAATAAGAACATGTGTTAATTTCGATCGTGATCTCTTTTATTTCAAGCATGCACATTTTTTTTATTGGTATTACTGGTCAAGCACAAGAATAAGCAAGCCAACAGCCGTTAAGTCTAAAGTTCTCATTAGAGCCGAAAAGAATGTTCTAATTTGTTACAAAATAGCAACCTTTTTGAAATCTGGTTTTATCATTTTGGATTTTTCTTAGAAAACTCATCGGATTTTTTCCATTCAGTTTTCAAAAGAAGTCTTATTTGAAGGATAGGTTCGCTTCTCAGTATATAAAACTAAAAATGCATTGGAAGGTTTGAGGTTGAAACCTTAAACCCATATGCGATGATGAACTCCTGCCAGTCTACAGAGCGGGCGGACAAAATACTAATAATTTCCTGTGTCCGCGCAGATACCGCCCGCTAAAGAAATTCGTTTTTACTTTTCAGCGCAACTCAGGAAAGTGGAGCGCTTATATCCACACATTTCCGTCCTTCTGTCTATCGTTCTGTGTTATACCTCAGTCCCTAGACCTTGTGTCGACCTCGAGTTTTCGCTATATGAAGGCTTATGTGTTCCAGGTGTGCAACTATCAAAACTTAACTTTGGCATTCATTACGTTGTTGCCCTAAATCGTAATTTATACACCAATTTTGTTGGGAGAAACTCAACTCGATTGCTCAACATAGTGTTTTTGCTTTATTTGTTCTCACAGTATAATTTGGTAGCATAACGTTTAATTGATTTAATAAATAAAAATAATAAGCACATTTTCGAAAACCTTTCAGTTTTTCATCTCACGCGCTAGAACGCGATTTAGTGGTTTCGCAGAAAATAAGCGGACTGATGATTAGGGATCCAAAACGCAGATTTCTGTCATTTCTAGACCTTTCTTATACCTATTCTATGTACCTATTGCAGGTAGTCAAGATAATGAAAATGATAATAATATACAGGGTGCTCATTATGTATGGAATATCGCTAAATAACGGCTGTATACGAAATTTTCCTATATTAAGTTGTTTAATATTTTATTTCTCATAATAAGACACCGTTCAGTTGTTTTTATTTTAGAAAACAAATGAGTAATGAAAAACAATTGAATTTTTTTAAATAGCAATGGATAGGTTAGGCCACTGCCTTACAGTTAATGGCGAACATTTTGAAATATTTTTTACTTCTAATTTCGTTTTGTCTTCCAGGTTTAATAAAAAACGTACACCTTCATTTATTTTATTTTGATGTAGGCTATTTACTTAGAGTGCTATTGATGTAATTACTTAATAGTTTTATTGACTATACCTGAATCAAAATCTCCGTTTTGCACACTCAAATGCGTGCCAAATCGGATGTGCTTTAAAGGTTGCTAAGTAGTGTTACTTGAACTATGACTTATTTCTGTAAATGCAAAAGATTTCTTTTACTTGTACCTACCCTTTGTTTAAAGCTTTCACACACGTGTGTAATTTGGGCTATGCGGCCAAATCTGTCCCATTTGTTAATCACAGCATTGTTAGTATACCAATGGGTACTCTATCGCGTACATAGTTGTAGAAAAGGAAAACAAAGGGTCCCTTTTCTTGTTGCGCATCACCCGCTGTAATGTATTGTTTGAAGTTTTGAATGAATGCACCAAAGGATAGAAGATACCTTTGAAATTTCCTTCGTATATGCCAGCATCGTCGATGGATTTAAAACTTTGTATGTAAGATGCTTTCTATTCATCCACGAAAACAACTTTTTTACATTCTTTATACTGGGCTTTACTAGATTTGAATTTTGCACCTACCAACTTTTCTTCTACTTTTGCAACAAGCCATTGAATGGACGGTGTGTTATCTTTTTCAACCGAAACCGTTTTATTTACAAAGAGGGTGAGTTTTAATAGCCGACGTCAATCGACATGGCAATCATGGAATTACATTAACAGCCCACTTAATTAGACATATATTCGAGTAATACGTCAATATGATTTTAATTTATTTTTATTCCTAATCTTTGTGAACGTAAAACCGCGTGACACATCAGTTATAAACGGAATGGAAAATTTACAGTTCTTATCGCACTCGCGTTTTCTCAACCTCTTAACTACCCACAGGCTAGTTTTAGAAAAGGTCACAGTTGTGCCACGGCATTGATAAACTTAACGGATGATATATTCGCACCTACTGATAAAAATAAACTCTCTCTAATAGTAACGCTTGACCTTTCCAACGCCTTCGACACCATTAGTCGTGAAATTTTAATAAGTTTATTATTATTATGTCAGATTAAGCTCGGTGCAAGTACATTATCTTAAAAATCGTAAGCAACTGGTACTACATAATAAATCTGCTATACTACCGATTTGCTGGGGGGTCCCACAAGGCTGTATTCTAGGTCCACTATTATTTATATTATACATCTCGAATTTTTACAAATGTCTACAACATCAATACGCACATGGATTATACATTAATCCTTTAAAATCGCTATCTATGTTGTTTGGAAAAAGTATATACCTATTAGAAGTAATAATTTTTTTTTTTTGAAGAGGGGCGGCTGGGGGGTTGTCACTCATAACGTCATTCTGGTTCCCCCTCGATACCCCCGAAACGGTTTTGCGCGATTTTCAATATCTTCTTTAGTTTGGAAACTATGTCCGACTGCAAGTTTTAAAATTGACACCCTGTATAATATAATAGGTATAAGGATGCTGTAGAACTGCGTTACATGTTCAAGACAAAGTAAAAAATATTGGAGTGGTTCTAGAATCTAGCAGATTTAAAAAGTACGCATCTGAAAATTAATATTCCATAATCGGTTCTGTCAAATAACTTCGAAACCATGTCAGTTAGACAGCGTCATATTAACAAAATCATACTGATTTTTTATGAGGAATTCAAAAATGTCATCAGAAAAGATAGTGCCATTTGAAATAAAAAAGTTCCGGTATCGTTCTGATACAACCGTATGGGTTCCGAATCAAAATTCCAAACCGTTCCTAAGATACTTCTAATGGTCCACGTAAAAACACCACCCTGTATAGGCTTTCATTTCACACCAATTCCATTCATATCTGCCAAACAGTTATTTTTTTAACAAGTCTCAAACTTGAGCCTCCAGTTTGTCCTACATCTTTTTATGTTCTCTGAACAGTTTACTTCAGAAATTAGTAAAACAATTTTTGAAAAAACACAAGAAAAACGTTGTTTTGAATTTTTAAAACAAAGATTCAGTTTAGCTGTTCAGCAGGGAAATACGGCTTGTATTTTAAGCAATCTACCGCCACAGATAGCATTTAATGAAATTTTTTATATTTTAAGTATACGGAATTTTTTTTTTAATTTTTAAAAAAATTGTTTTTTAAACAATTTTATTTGCAATATGTTAATGTTGTAACCTTTTGTTAAATTCATAAATATAATATTCTTTTTGGTGTAGTTTCATGTGCGAGGATCAAGAAATTTCTCATGATTAAGGATCTACCCTTGGTCACATTTAAAAAACGAAAATTTTATCTATACAATGACAAACTGGATAATTAAAACAATTTGTAAGGTAATAGCAATTAGTGTTAATCAGATTAGCTGAAATTAAGTAAAATCAATGATTGAACACGAAAAAAGCAAGCAGAAAAAAAACCACTCCACACAACATACCAATCTACTTCAAACGTCTAAAGAATACAGTATCCTACATAAAAAATAATCAATACCAGTGTACACATTCAAAGAGCGAAACTGACTAACCTCATGTTGTGATGCATGGGTTTACGGTAGAGCTCGAACGCCGACCCCCTCTGCTCCCGCGAGCCTTGCAGGTCGACGATGTTGTGGCGTTCGGGTAGTCTCGCCTCGACGACGTCCGCGCTCTCCATGCTGTACGAGTTGTCGCGCTGCGAGATCGGCGTTATTTCGCTGCGCGACGCGTACGATATGTTCGTGTGACGATGCGAGTCGTACGGCGGCGCCATATCGTACGGTCCGTGCACGGACGAGTTGTATCTGACCGCGGTTTCGGTGTGCCAGTTGTTCGCGGGCGGCATGTTGTAGTAATAGTCGTGTTTGCTGTTCATTGTGGGCGACCGCTGATCTTGCTAAGAACAACGTTAATGAAAAGCGTTCACAAGGAGTCCAAACCATACTGCACAATGACCATAATATAAAATCAGAAATGTTTTTTGGATTTTTGAGTTTAAAAAATGAAAACGTCAAAATGTGTAAAGTTATATGGCTTTTCCATGTCTTACTTGTTAGTCAAGTTATTATACTTGTTATTTTGTACAGTCATCGAAAAAGGTGGACTCGATTTTAATTTAAAGTATTATTGGAGCGATTTCAGCGCAACGAACGTTAATACAGACGGAATATTCGAGTTTTAAGTAGTCATTAGGTTGATCTTGAAGATGCAACTATACGCATGCGCATGTGCCACCTCGGTCGATTGTGGACCAGTCAGTCTGTAGTCGCGATTTCTTTTCGGTGTGACATCCAAACCATTGTCTGCGCTGCAAAAATCCGGGACATGCGACTCAACACTGCCATTAGAACTGTGACTCATGAAATGATTCAGCGGACATGGACGGATTATCGTTTAGATGTCTGTCGTACGACAAGGAGCGTTCACATAGAAACATTAAACTAGGTAAAAAAAGGCCTGTAAGGTTTTCTTTATCTATTTGTGAAAAAGAAATTAAACTATCTTTATTACAGTCGTACACATTAATGTTTAAAATCACGTCCACATTTTTCGATGACCCTGTATGTTTTTATACGTCTTTCAATCTCTCTTCATTTTTCTGATTTCAATATAAATCCATTTGTAACGGTAGCCGAGGGAAAGGTTGATTTTTTTAAAATTAATGTATACGTGGCTTGTAGGCTGATTTTCTTCTTTTAATGTGAACCCTGTGTGGTAAGAGTCCGGTAATCAAAGACAACCCTCTGCTTCTAGCACCTTGTGTGCACCTATGCGGAAAGTACTGCCTTTGACTTTTTCGATTATGACGTTTTTTTAAATTTATTTCTCGATTTCTTCCAGTTTGTGAATTCTGATGCTGTTTTCAAATTTCACTCAAGCGATGGGGGTGGTTATAATTTATGGTCACTGGGCGCTATGGTCGCGCGCCTCACTTACCATCGAATTGCTGTAACTCTTAGCGTGCTGGTACGGCACCGACGGTTGGAGGATGCCATCGTTCGGTCCGTAACCTTGGTTCTTGTATGGCGGCTTGTAGTTTTTGGGTTTGGGGGGAGGAACGGGCTTGTACGCGTTTGGGGGGCCATTTTGGTGCTCGAACCCGTTGGAGTGGTGGTAGTTGTTTTTCACCTGATTGTGATGATGGGGAGGCACGTTGTGGACTGTTAGTTGAGCTTGCGTCAAGTCTTGATGGGAGGTGCGCGTGTAGTCTTGCGAATTGTTGTTGCGGCTGAAAAATGAGCTGTTAATTTCATGCTTACGGGTCCTTTTTAAGCTAACCTATACTTTCCATAATCAGTCTTAGTTTCAACGTAGGTCTTGGTGAAGCTATTCTGTTTTGCTGGCGATCTAAAACGGAGAGTATACAAATGATCTGTGCTTCTTTTAGACTAACCTATACATTTCTTGTCGATCTCGTTCCGAAAGCATGCGCGGGTTGAGGTGATCGAGAGGTGAGGACTCTTTATCGACCTCGTGCGAATTACGCGGACTTTGGTCAGGGTGATCGTTAACATTGTTGACCCCCATAGCGTACTTCAGATCTAACTTGGAGCCCAGCCGATCGTGTCTGTGATTATTTTGATCCCATCTTGCAGGGTACTTTGATGGTGTTGTCGGGTTATCTGAGTCGATTTTAGATAAAGTTGTTTTTAAGTCATCATGCGCGTTCGGGCCTATTCCCGAATTACCTGGAAGTTGCTGTTTATAGGAGTCGTAACTTGACAGCGAATCCGATTTCGAATTCACGCTCCTTTCCAACGAGCCTAATTTATTATTAAAGCTTTCCGCGTTATTATTTTGCTCGTTACTATCGCTTTGTTGGAGAGGCTTCGTCCCAAACAAGCGTTCGTGGGCGGATCGGCTAGAAAAGTATTAACAAATTAATAAAACAATTGTATTTGCAACATAGGAACATTTATACCGCTTCATAGCGAACATGAAGAAAAGCATGTCTGGCGATAACAATCTATAACAAGAATTGGGGAAAGCGAGTGCGTCATTGGATAACGCATTGAAAATTTTGTATACAACGGCATATGGCAGGAAATTTTCAAGACAAGTAATCAGTGCATTTTAATAAATTGGGAAAAATGAATATCAACACAGCGGATCATTGGCATTTTATTCTTTTGCATAATCACAATCTGGAGATACACCGAGTAAAAAGTAGAGGAAGGTCAAGAAAGATAGGATAAAGCAATAGTACCTACCCATTAGTCTTTGTCGGTGTAACCAAAAGTCCAATTGGTTTTACCGCTCGGTCGACCCGCGGCGGCAGATCCGGCGCGGTGGCGTACATACGTTCATCTTTCGGACTGCGTGGGTTCTGTTCGTTTAAGCTATTCCCCTTCGAATGATTGAACATCCCATGTAAAGTACTACTTTGTCTCTTATGGCCTTCTTTGATGTAGTCATTCCGCGGTTCCTTCGAGTAATCATTGGAGTGGGAATATAAACCACTCTGCTTGTAGGGATTTTGAGGGTCCAAATTTCCTGGCACCTCGGGAGTTAGGTTCGGGCCTTGATTCGTCGGATTGGGCGGGGTACTGGGGGGAAGCTGCGATTCCGAATTGCTTTGATTTCCGAATCCGTATCGTGTATCGTAAGTGGGCTGAAACAGATTAAATTAATTTGGCAACGCCGTTTCGGTACACGTACTTGATACGGTGGTAAGACATCGGTTGTGCTACTGTCCGGCATAACAACGCTCGGATCCGAACTGGCCTTTGTGAGTCTTCCCGCATTGCCGTTACCGCCGCCGGACAGTCCCGTCGATACGGGCGGGCCCGGGCTGTGCTCAAGATCGCTTTCCGGCGAGCTCGCGTACGATAAACGCAGCGATGACATTGGGAATAGGAAGTCATCGGATAATGATTCTTCAGGCTAAAAAATATATTACGATACACATCACAAATGCTTGTTAATACATTGGAAACAAGAAGGTTATTGTCAAAAATTAGTGGAGAGCATTGAGAAAGCAGAACAAATTTCACAGTATCATTAGGAATTAGGACATTTTAAATGGTAATGCAAATTGTACTATGTAATAAGTTGGTCTCGATCTTCATGAGCTGTTAACCTTTTTATGTACAAAAATGACAATATCAAGATTGTTACTTTACGCTCAAAAAATAACAAGATGCAAAACCTCTTCTAAATAATAATATGGGTCACCTTATAAACGGACGATATTTATTTGACGCAGTTGCAATACTATACATTTTCAGAACTTGTCACATAAACAAAACTTGAACACGGGACTGATTGAACAAACAGAAATGCTTGGGCACGTTTCGTTGTTTCCAGGAAGTAATAAATAAAAACCGAAATGGATATTTAACTTGTAAAGAAAGCGCTCGGGAAGGCAGTCACTAAGAAAGAAAGAATTAATTAATTCCTCCTCTTATAATTGACTCATTTTAATTGTATCACTTCATGAATATGCATTGAAGTGTTTCAAAGAAAGTTACACTGGTTTAGGTAGGTTGTAAAATGTTTACTGCTGCTGACAGTAAGCCGACCTAGGCGGAACTACTATAATAAAGATTTTATCATTCTATCAGTGAGGCGATTGAGTCTCCAACGTTGGTTCTGCAAACCGCCGGCCATTTCAACCCCTAATACCAGTCTGCGTTTTCGTGGCCAATCGGTGCCGAGTAATGCCATTTATACGTTCGCTAGTAGTAGACCGAAAATTACATTTTACTCCGAAAGTAGGCGAAAAAATGTTTGTTTTGCTATTATGACCAGTAATCAACCTAAATTTTCCACTGATTGACACAATAAACTGTCTTTCAGTACTAGTTATAATATCTATCTACTAAATGTAATTATGTATCTGATTGATGACCATTGTTTCTAACTATGTTCGTTAAGATCTAGGCGACTTAAAGATTTTACCAGTAAATCCTTTTGTATTGGCGGTTTTTTGAATTTTGAATTTGAACTTTCTACAAGAAAACCAAGAAGACAGAATTTGCATTTGCCTACTTTTCTTCTACTGTTAGAAATTCAGCGGATATCTCAAACGCCACTGATAGGATGAAATGCACCCAACTACTGTTAAATAATAAATTTTAAAACGTTTCTAAAAATACACAAACAAATAAATAGAATGAAACAATTAAATTTCCCCAAACACTTCCTCCGTAATAGTCAAATTTTGCACATTAAAATCAATCGGCCGAGGCAAAAGAGGCGGACCCTCTTCGATTTCAACGATTGGAATACCGACATCGTTAAAATTATTATTGTCGTTAAGAAACTCACTGGCGGCATGCACACGGTTATCGAACAGATTAACCGAGTAAGCGTCTGGCACACGTTTATCAGCGTTCAAGCACTCATAAGTTCTACTTGCATAATATTCGTTCGCGTAATGATGATTGCATACGCTGCATTCGCTAGGCACGTGATACAGAGGTTTGGAAACGGGTAGGTATTGGGGGTTGCTGTACATTGAGAGGGGGGCGCGTTTGGAGTGCTTTTTGGGTTTGGAACGTTGACGACTGGGTAGGGAATTGCTACTTCGCGTCGAGAGGTAAGCGATGGGAAAATAGAAATCTGTAAATAAGTCAATGCCCAGCTGAAAAAGAAATAAGAAATTACCACCACCGGAAGAGTTTGGTATTGTCCATTTCAAGTTATAGCTTCCATTCAAAGTAAGAATCACATTAGTGCCATTAGAATGACTCGAAAACTAAACAAGGACGTAAAAGTGTATTGTTTTGGTGCTAATGGGATTCTTGATTTGAATGTACGCTATAAATGCATCCAAGTACAAACCTTAGTTTCGCTCATCCAAACCGCACCGCTTTGTTGCTTGTCGATTATCTCGCGTACTTTTCTGTACCAATTGTCAGTGTTATCGTTTAGGGTTATCGTCGAGCAGAATATGTGATTCCACACCTTATCCAGCTTTTGGCACTGCTCCAAAAGCTTCTTGGAACTTTTGTGCGCCGACCTACAGCAAACGAACAGATTAGCGCGCCCTCTACACAACCGTCAACTCACTTTGGTAAACCTTGCCGCATTTGTTTTATGATTATCTTACTTTCCGCCTTGAAGAACACGACGACCGGATACAGCTGGGCGTAGTTCAACCGCTCGACGGTATTCGGCGTGATGTCGAGAAGCGCGTGTTTTCCAGTAGAGATCACCTCGCGAATTGCGGACAGTCGAATAATGTTGGAGGACATCTTTTGCGGTTTTGAATCGTCCAAATTGCTATCGAGCTCTAAAATAAATATCAGCCAATAGGGGGCGACATTTCAAAATTGAAACTTACGCGGCGAAATGAACTTGTCGGGAAAATCTTTCAGAAGCTTATCCCTGGCCACGTCCGCGATTGGTCCGAAGAGAATGACGGGTCGCGTGAAACCCGGGTGTTTTAGTACGACCCGCTCGTAGGCGGGGAATTTTGATACGGTGTCGGAGAATAAAATATCGTCCCAATGCTCCTGTAATACATACAAGTGTGTATTGTGTTTGCAGCGGACCTAACACTTGCGATAGCACTGATGCCTATCATTAACCTTATGTTACCCATGTTTTAGATAAAGCATTAACAAATGATTCATTACATTTGTCAAAAAGTATGCGAGTTTTTAAAAGAAAATCCAATGGGAAGTTTGAATTCAAAGCACAAACTATGTGACGTCATAGCTCTGATATTAGATCGACCCAGTACAGTGCGGTACACAACGATCCTTCCTTGTTTAACTTCACAAATGCTGGGAACGTGAAAACCTAAAGACAATGATAAGCATAATATTCTTTACCACCCCCGCCATGTGTGCGTAGGTAACGAAGCACTCAGTTCTCAGACCGAAATTTATGAACACGCTGTACATAGATGACTACCAGCTTTATTGAACACCTGATATCTAAAGGCACTTCGTTATTAAAAGTGTTGTTCCGGAACTATTTTTTTTTGAGACGGAAGGCAGAATTACTTGCTTTAATTTCTAGTGCCGTCTTAGCCGCTGATAAGGAAACCAATTGCCGTATATAAGTGTTCAGCCGCTTGATCTGAAATTCCATGTAGCAATAAGTGTTAACTAGATGACCGATTTAAAAATTCTTATCTTGGCAAAACAAGTAAGACTAATTAACCATGGTTAATTAAATGAGTTGCAGTAAGCGGCATCCGATTAAGTCGTGAGTGGTCTTATAAGAAGCGCTGTTAATTAATTTGAATTTTAATTTTTATCGTTATCTATCAAGTAAAACGGCCGGGTGGGAAATCCGTAGATTCTAGAGGTTCATAAGACTATGAGAGCAATGACGTCACTTTCGTTTTCTGGACTATTTCATTTTATTTCTCTGACTTATTAGGTCAGCAAATTAAAGCAAATTAAAGGTATGAATGCTACTCTTGTATATTCATGTAATAAATCAAAAAGAGCAAATGTAAAACTGTTGGCCATACCCAATTGTTAAGAGAGAATATTACCTTCCCCAAACTTTTTGACCGTCTATTAGAGTTCCGCCGTCGCCTGAAAAAGCTTCCTCTCGATTCATTGGCCGACATTTCCTTTTTGGTAGCGTTAAACTGCGCCGTTGCCAGTTCTTCGGCCCGAGACTTGTTAGGTATAATGCCCTTCTGCCCTTGTTGATTATTTCGTCCTGGTGATTTGGAAATTTAACACGCAATTGCTACACGAACAGTACCTACCGATTCGATACACCTGCCAACAGCCCACTACTCCATTATACAAGGTATCAATGACGTGAAAGATGTCACCACTCTTAAAGCTCATTTCGCCCTTAACCGAATTTTCGTAGTGAAAATGCGTCTTAATATAAAAACTGTCGCCCTTCTGCGAGGCGACGATGCCGTCGTACTCCTCCTTGCAGAACTGAACGATCAACTCGATGCGATCCTGAAGGCTCAACAGGAACAGGACGGCCTCCTCTCGTGTCACACCCGTCATGTCCATGTCGTTAACCTAAAAATCGAGCGTGCGCATTCGAAATTGGCACCCTGGCAGCTACCTTTAAAATTTTATCCCCCGGTTGTAAACCTTGCAATGATGCCGGACTACCCGGTTGCACCGCCGTCACGAATATCCCGACGAAATTTCCACCAGTCAAACGAATTCCAACCGATCCCTCCTTATGGAATGTTATGTACCTGGCATCAGGTCTACAAAAAAAACAAACAAAAGACTAAGTGAAGATGGGCGGTTTCAGGCAACGTACACCGGTTGCTTCGTTTTGTGAATAATCGGATCGTCATCGTACAACTGCCTTCGACTACTGTAATAATCTAAAAAAAACCAATTAAGTCACAATTCATTATAGCCGTATGTACCTTCGGGTCTAGGCGGGGGCGGCCGCGGCGGTTCTTCCCGATTTTTCGCCCTCCCATATCCTTCGAGACTGTTCCTGTTCAATTGATTAATGTTTGCCTCCGAAAGGGGCTGTCGCAGTCGGCCGCGCGGCGCCAGGTTGCTTTTGTCGTCCAACGAACTGGGCCCGCCGTTTTGTTCGAGTTTGTCGTCAAATCCGCCGTTCGCGTTTACGTTCGGATTCCTGGTCGGCGGTTGGACATACAAATTTTGATTGGAGTAGCTTTGCGGTGAGGTCAGGAAGTCATCTAAAATTAACAGGTTCCAGCTACCCCCATCAACAATTTTAAGCAGTTGCTCTTTACAACAATCTTCCTATGTTAAATAAATGCAACAATTAAAGTATTATATTTCCTCAAATATAAGGTATAATTTGATGGGGACAAATATTTGCCAAGGAACTACGTTGTATGGATTTAAGAGTGTCTAGAAATCATTTTTAAAACATTTTTTAATCTTTAAGAAAATTTCCTCTTCCTACCAATTTTCAACTGCGGGGTTGTAACTTTCCCAAAACGTAAAATATTTTCATTTCTTTGATAGATTAGGTTGAAATAATCTACAAACCACCCTCGAATCGAGTTTTAAAATAAAACCCCTTCACTTGTTGTAACAGGTGGTGTCTTAAAGGCGTTTTCAAAAGTTTTAATTTTTCTAATTTGTATTTCATTCAACATAGGAAAGTTTACCCATATACCGCTTCTTAGCGAACATGAACAAAAGTATGTCTGGAAATAAAAAGCGATAACAACGCGTGGAATTTTTGAGACAAAACGTTGGTTAGACCGGAGGGGGGTTTTCGGAGACAAGGTTAGACCTTCAAAGAGCTAGCATATTATTTGTGTGGGAGAATGTTATCTTTGCCTAATTGTGTTAACGTGACGTTATTAAGCCCCCCAGGTACGATCTTGAAATGAATAAAAATGTCTAGAAGGCACCTTAATTAAGCGTTTTCAACAAAAAATTTGCGGGCCAAAATTTACCACAATTTTAATTAAACGTTCATTTCATTAATCGAAATCTGAGGTTACGTTAACTTTCTTCTCTACTAACTTGAACTATGCTGCGTTTAACGTGTATATAATTAACAGTTAATGTAATAATAAAAGTATGTACTAATAGGTATAATATACAATAGCATTTTAGGTTTAGTCCGACACTTCCATGTCATTTGAATGCTTTAGGAAAGAAGAATGTGGTATAGAGAGTTTTGCATATGGCAAGGATCGCCTTTCTGTATTGACCACCGAGAGGGGAAACCTTATCAGTCGAAAGGGGAAGGTACATCGTTAGCATCTTCCATAGACCGCCTCTTTGTTAGCGACCGCCGATTAACTTGGACAGCCTTTTCTATATAAGCCGGTGACTAACATCGATCGCCTCATCACTCGAAAGGGGGAGTGACCCCTATTATGGTGTAATTAGAAACACATGTATGGCTATACATAATTTTTTAACGTTTATTAAATCATGAAAATATAAAATAACCTTTAAGAAATTGAAGTTGGAAATCTTACCAACTTAAAAGTAATCGTGAAATATACATAACCTAATATTCGACGAAATTATGTTAACTGTGTATTAAGATTGTGGAAAATTTAGGACTTCTCCTGCAATTTTTGTTGTTGAAAACGCTTAATTAAGGTGCCCTCTAGCCAGTTTTATCAATTTCATGATTGCACCTGGAGGGCTTAATAACGTCATGAAATTGAAGCAGGTTTTCTTGGATGATCGATTCATACGATCTTTTCTTCCGCCACATTTTGCATGCATCATGAAGATAAGGTTAGCCAGGGTAGTGCACAAAGTCAACTGTACCATCCAAGCGATCTGTTTCCATATTTCTAAACGAAGCAGAATGTTCAAGGTGAGATAAGATCAATTTCTTACCAGAAGACAATATTACCCACGTCAATAGCTGTAACTTATTTTACATTTTTTGATTTGTATAAAGTAGTGGCCGGTTATTTTTAGGAATTCTCAGAAGGAATTTCGTTCGAAGTAATTTTAATATTCCTAAAGGAATCGACCCCTGAAAATTATTGGTATGAAGAAAGGATTTGCGTTATTTTGCATTTAATTTCAGTGGTTGGATTAAAATTTTGTTTAGCATTCAAGGGTGTGTGTATATTTAACAGGAGATTGTACCATTATCTGGTAATGATAAATTTCAAAATCATGGACATGTGATCACGAAATAGGCATTGCATTTTTTGTATTTCATTTAATGAATCAAACCTATATTTTATATCCAGCAACGTGTGAAACAAAATTGAAATTGTGTAACGAAGCACCCGTTTTCCGCCTTGAAGTCACCCGTTTTCGTGTATACTCTGTAGATGAATACCCGGAATTAAGAAACGATTTAGTTGGGCGCTTCGTTACGGAAAGTGTCATTATTAGGTTGATACGAATCCTTTCTGCCGACCTGAGAAATTCCAAGAGACAATGGGGGTTAATTAGATGTAGGAATTTAGTTGCAGTAAACGTTATCGAAATCAGTCGTGTGAGGTGTCCTTGGATGCAATCTAATTTTACCAGATGTTTGTAAATTGTCCCGGATTTGTATGATGACCAGAAGCCGAGAAATAAATTAATGAAATTTTAATCTTTGGATGTAGATAACTGAATAAGTACGCTGTGTTGGTTGGGAAAACCGTATCTATATCTTTGGCTTTTTCTTGTACAGTAATTTCTCCCGCTCCGGTAATTGCAAGGTAAGCTTTTCGCTACTTTCTGTTCCATTAATTATAAGGGGGGGATATTGTTTCGCTTTCCTGCATTTGCTTTCCCGTAGATACCGCTACCGAATCCGATTATTTACTATTCCCGCTTAGGGAAATTGCTGTCCGGTTTAATTTTGTTTTAGCAATCACCAGTAGCAAGGCCGTACTCTTGGTGGCGCTCGAGTTCGTCCGTCCGTCCGTTTCGCCGACAGAACACCCCGGTTGCCACCGACGTGTCGAGATTTGTTTGTCTTTATTTATTTTCATTCATCTAATTAGTTCGTCGCAACAATTCGCAAACAAAATTTTTCTGACTAGCTATTCTAATTTTGTGAAGTTGAAGACGTATTGCATGTTTTGCACATGGGAAGATTTGTGTGTAGAACAACGTTAACGTTAAATATCGTCTCGAAAAAATAGTAGAAGTTGAAAAATGTAAAACTAGCAGGTCGTACCTTTGTAAAAATTGTTAACAGCACCAGTTGTGCTCACAGAACTTTGAGTTTGATGCGAGATCGTGGAGGTCTGATTAAAATCTCGAGCAACCGTAATGTGCAGTTTATCCTTTGAGCTATCGATGATCTTCTTCGCCTCTTTTAACGACATCAAATCATTGCAGTTGGTGTTGTTCAGTTTCGTTATAAAATCGCCTTCGTTTAAACTTTGGTTTGTGCTTAACAGCTGCTCCCGCGCTTTCGTCGAGAGCTCCTTTATAAATAATTTACATCCGATCACCACTCCGAAATCTACAACAGTCGATGCAATGATGACACCTGAAAGTGACACCACAAACCTTCTTTTTTGGAATTTTTCGTTAGGGTAACCTTCGCAGGGAGCGGGTTAATTCCTAGCGCCGCCAGTGGAGGCCCCGAGCCTAGGCTGTGGCTGTGCTGATGGTTCGTCACCCGTCTCTTGATCAACAGCACCACCGTATCCCCGGAGTCTCGCAGTACCTGAACCGCTGTTGCGTAATCCACATTTTGCAGAGAGATCCCATTTACGGTTATAATTCGGTCGTTAACGCTAAAATTGTGACCAAAACTCAAATTACCGTTTTTTGAAAATTAAAAAAAAATGCTAGTACAAAGTCGAGAAAATCAGGAAAATTTAAGCAAAGTGAATTACTCACTGAAGCAGTCTTTCGGCAGGTCCGGATGCGAGAACGTCACTTACGGCTATGCTGGGATCACCAGAGGCAAAATGCGGATTGTCCCGTCCTCCCGAAACGGCTATACCGAAACCGTATCCCTGCACTCTTGTAACCGTCACCTGCTTGTATTCCCAGCCGCGTTCCTGGAAAAAAATCATCTTTTGAGTTCAGAGTAACACTAACACCGTTGATTCACCGAAAGTAAAAGCTAATACCTTTTTGGGTGAAACTGTAAACATCTGGCGTTTGATGATGAGATGTAATAATTAAGAAATCGAGAGGTTCAATCGTAAATATTCATTTATTGATATTTGAAAGTGGTATGCCTCATGGTATGCATAATGAAGTTGTAGGTGAGAGGTTATTACAACAACGATTTAAAGAGATCGGCATAAACACTACTGCAATTTTGTTTACTTGCTGGTGCACCTCAGGGGTCCGCCCTTGAACCATTGCTATGTTATTAATATGCAGCGTGTATTTTTATTTTTTATGTTATGAATATTCTATTTGTTTTCTGTATTTTTAATGCAACCAATACCTGTATGGATTGCGCCTGTCCCTCCGAGGGCATGAAATCTCATTACTGAGGCCAGGGAGGAAGCTGCGTTTTTCTTTTATAGCTTTAACGCAGCGTGAACGAAAAGAAAGAATTTTCAGGAAAAGGTTTTTGCACGTTCGGGATACTACCAATAGGTAGCTTCAGTACTATCAACCTGCTAAAAATCGGTATTATTGAAGATGCGTTTTCGTCACCCGTGCGATTGCGATGGTTTTACCATTTGCTATAAGCGCTTACATTTTACCCTTTATTGGGCAAAAAATAACAATTTTGTTCACCATAAAAATTCCGGTTGGGATCACTGGATCCAAAAAAATGCGATATTTCAAAAAATGCCACTCAATACAGTGTGTACTTTTTTTACGGGCCATATATAAACTAAAGTTGATGATTTCTCCGCAATTAAATGTTGTATTGAAACTCTCTTAACGCTGGTGTCTTTTAGAGCTCAAAAAGTGGCAATGAGAAAGTGTTTGCTTTTATTTTTAGCGCATTTTCCATCCATTTTCATTTGGAAGGCGCTATTATGGCCACTTTCTCCGTCCGTCCGAGGCCTTAACTACGCCTACAGGTTTCAAGATATGTTATTTAGTTCGTTTTTTTTTGCATTCGGTTGCTAATAACTCTGGCACCTCAACCAAGAAAAATCTTGAGGATTAATGTGCGCATGCGCAAAGTCAACTGTCTTATTTATGGATATCTTTCAAATTTTAAGCACAGATGCGTCTAGTAAAGAGAAACGTATTGCATATTGTAAAAAACAGATGTGCGCATGCGCAAACTGCGCAATGTCAATTTTCTTAGTAATCGAAATATTTCTTTTAAATTTTAACCACAGATTCTTGCAGTTAAAGCAAACATATCGCATATTTTAAGCATCAGGTCCGTGAATGCGCAGAATGTACATGGTGAGTCAACGATTGCGCGGAGTAACTTAATGCCTTGAAGATAAGATTTTTCGATAGAGTGCTTTTGTATTATAATATGGTTAAATATTCTCCACATTTTAAAAATATTTGGAATTATACAGGGTGCGCTCACAAAGTAGGGCCCCCAAATGGTACATTTTTTAAATGGAACCCCCTGTATTTGAATGCATTTTTGAATTCTACGTGTAATTGTACGTCTTTTCTATTATATGGTTAATATCCGGAAAGCTAGTAGTTTTAAAGATAATTCGATTTTTAAGAAAAATTGAGCATTTGCAAGCATCAGTATATTGTCAAAATTATTACTTAAATTTTGTTTCCAGGTTTTATATCTTTTATCCTGGGTTAAGTAAAAGTCAAATAAATACATCTACTATGAAACATTAAAAAAATAGCTTACAGGGTGTTTTTTTGGTAGATCCAAAGTTGCAAAACTTCATATGAAAAAATCTCACTTTTTTTAAATGGAACACCCTGTATATTTTTCTGTCATCTTTTAGCTCTTCTAAAAAGTTCAGTTTCGTCGAAAGTGAGGTTATATTGTTCCAAATTACATTGTTGTTTTTAAGTTGGTTATAGTGTTCTTAACATGTGCCAACTTTAATTTCTTAAAAGGTTATGTTATTTTTTCATGATATAATAGACGTTAAACAATGATGTACAACTATTATACATGTGTTTTTAATTATACCATAATAGCAGGAAGTAGTTCCCTACATGTTTTACATAAATGAATGCGAGAGATATTCCTTCTCCTCTCGACCGTGTAAGGCAGTGGATGCTAAGCAGCGATTTATACGGAAAAGGCGTTTCAAGTTAATCGGTGATTGCTAACAAAGAGGCGATCCATGGAAGATGCGAGAAATATTCCTTTCCCTCTCGACCGTATAAAGCGGTGGATGCTAAGCAGCGATTTATACGAAAAGGGCATTCCAAATTAATCGATGATTGCTAACATAGAGGCGATCCATGGAAAATGCGAGAGTATTCCTTCCCCTTTCGGCCGTATAAGGCGGTGGATGCTAAGCAGCGATTCAGGAAAAGGCGTTCAAAGTTAATCGGCGGTCGTTACGAACGAATTGGTATATGAAACATGCAGGAACTGCCCGGGTTTCGGTTTCCCCTCTCGGTGATCGATACAGAGAAGTCTATCTTTGTCAGATGCAACCTTCTCTACAACATTCTTCTTCCCTAAGACATTCAAGTTTAGACTGTATACCCTTCGAACAGTGGCCAGTGGGGTTATTAAAGTGCATCCACATGGAAGTGTCGTTTATTTGGTGTAAAAGTCGAACAAAACCTCAAATTGTATTTTATATTATACCTGTTATACTACTTTTATTACGTTAGCTGTTAATGTACACGTTAAACCCAGCATATTTCAATTTAGTAGACGAATAAGTTAACTTATCCTACGCAAATTAGCTGTCACTTAAATTTTTCAGTTTCGCCAACTTAAGAACGACGAAATATAAGTAAAATAACACCCGAGAGGACATCCTGTCATAAAATTGTGTACACCAGATATCCTTTTTAGACAAGATAACCTCGGATATCCTCAGATCTCCCCAGATATTCTCGGATATCCACAGATATCCTCAGTTATCCTTGAGTATATCCCTAGATATCCTCCGATATTCCCTGATATGCATGGCCTTCTAAAAGTATAGTAAAAAGTGATTTGAAACCTCATTTCGAACATCTAACCTAGCGAGAGGTCTAGTTAGTATACGTACAATAAACAATAATAATTTTTTTATTTTATAGCAGATGTTAACTAAATTAACATTTTAATAGGTTTGAATAAGTAGGCTAACTCGCTCTTTAACCGTAAGGGTAGATAAAGTGATTGCTTTAACCTCAAGGATAGATAAAGTGAAACAAATGATGCATTCTGATGACATTGTCATTCTTGTTAAAAATGGGACGCGGAGCACGAAATAAAATGAAGTTGAGAATAGAATACAATATTGTTTCCATGGCAGCGACGGGACATAAGTTTGCTATTTTTGACGTCTAAATTAAATTCCGAATTTTCTTAAGCTTTATAGCTAATGATGGCTTCTGCTGTAAAATAAGGTTTTGCATTATACACGACGATAAAGAGAAACTAACCATCTCGTGAAAGTTAATTCCCTCAATGGTTCCCTTTATCGTTTTGTATAATAAATAATTAAGCTTTCAGCAACATAAATATTTGTATATTTGTAAAAAATACATTAAGAAAAAAAAACAATTCTCTATCGCAATATATAAACACAAAAAAATTATCAAACAATAAATGCGAACACCCTGCATACCTATCAATAATAATTATAATTACTGAATTTTCTTAAGTATTTTGTACTTCTTTTTTATTTTCAGCAAATCATTTCTTTTGATACGAAAAGGATCGGTGCCTATTAGGTCTAGTACTCCGTAGAATATATATTTCTCGTGAACTTGTCTAATATCAGTATTTATGGTTTGTGGCCATACAAACACATCCATATATTGTTTTAAAAATTTCAATTACAATTTAAAAAATGTTGCAAAATGGCACAAGTGCAAAAAATATTTCAAAAAGAAGTTGTGTATCATAAAAACTCGAATAAAAACTGTTTCTAATTAATTAAATGTTTGTTAGCTACTTACGTTCGAAAATAAATGGGATGCGCACTATTATAAACCTCGCTATATCACTCGGGATAGCCTCAGATATCGGGATAACCTCAGATATCCTCGTGCATGTATATCCTCTACCGGATGCCCCCCATCGATAACACCAGATTTAGAGGAAATGAACTGAACTTTTAATTAAGATTGTGGAAAATTTAGGGCTTCTTCCGCAAAATTTTTTTATTGAAAAAAATTAGCGTCATTTATTTATTATTTATTATCCCTCTCTTGTTCTGGGTCCTCAACAGGCTTGCGCCCAATTACAGAGTACCCGCATAATGCTTTTTAGAGGTGCCCATAAACGCTATTGTCCGTGCAGGCCCGTAGCTAGGGGGTGGCCCCACCTAGAATGTGGTCTTGCCCCCACTGGAAATTACGGTTGATGGGTCCTTTACAAAAATTACAGGGGAAGCCTTTATCAAAAATTTCTTAAGCCCCACCGGCCACCCCTGCGACTTCATTCTGGCTACGGGCCTGTGTCCGTGTCTTTCCGTCTGTACTACTATGTACTAGTCCTCCAAGGATATGGATATTTTGGAATGCATCAGTCTAGTTAAATATTCGAAAAGTCTCCCTTTAAAATTTGAGGGGCATTTTATATTACTTTTGGGCTCAACGTTATTGCAAATTAGGTTGGAAAATAAAAGAAACTTTCACGCTGAATTCAAGTAGATACTTTTACATGGATTAGGTACACAACTTTATGCATGGCACATTTGCCCTCCTACAACTGGAGTTTATGGTGGTACATCGGCAGGACCTAGTAGTATCCGGAAGTACACAGAATTACTGGCAGAACAGGGCGAGTACTCCAAGTAATGCCAGTTCCGGTAGTACTAATTCAACCTAGTGGAAATCCAAGGATTGTGCATGTACTTGTTTTAAGTTTCACAAATCAAAATCACATCCTCGATTTACTGTTACCAACATCCACAAAGAAATGCATAAGGTTGAAGTCACATTGTGAAATTTAAATTTCTTCTTTTCGGCGTGACCCGTTTACTTTATAAGATTAGACTTTTAGCGTTGATGAGTGATATCATTGAATAAAGAATCAGATTTATTATTCAATGGTGATATTTAATTACTGAATGCTGTTAGCCTTTCATTAGGAAGTTACCAGCCGATAATGTGCAATTAACAAATATAAACACGCGCTTATCATGAGTTAAGAAGATAACTATAATAGCTTGGCGACCCAAATATTTCGCAGTAGTAGCCATGGAGAAGTTGGAAGGAAAACTTGCAGTGGTGACAGGAACTTCCTCTGGTATCGGCCGGGGAATTGCAATCAAATTGGTGGAAGCTGGACTGCGTGTGAGTGCTTCCCATTGATTTGCATGGTCATAGGACCGAACGCATTTTCAGGTCGTCGGTATTGCAAGACGCGAGGATCGCGGTCGAGAACTTGAGCTGGCTTTGGATGGGAAAAAAGGTCGATTCTATCATCTAACCGCCGATATTACAAAGGAGGAGGATGTGCTCAAGGCGTTTAAGTGGATCGAAGAAAATTTGGGAGTGGTTCATATTTTGGTAAATAACGCCGGTACAATGCGAGAAACTACACTCATCGATGGAAAGACGACGTGCTGGAAAGATATTGTGGACCTTAATATTTTCGGTTTATCCATGATGACAAGGGAGGCTGTAAAATCGATGCGAGCGAACAATATAACTGGCGAAATTATACATATAGGAAGCGTGGGAGGTTGCATATCATCATCCCCTACGAAGGGATCACGAATGTATTGCGCCAGCAAGCATGCGGTACGCAACTTGACAGAAGGGTTGCGACAAGAACTGATCGAAGTGGGTAGCGAAATTAAAATATCGGTAAGAATTACACGCGGCTTTCTTCGAGTAAGACCAAGTTTTAGTGCATCAATCCTGGACTGGTCGAGAATACCGAAATTGTCCAGTACAATGAAGCGATAAAGGGGTTCTTACCCTTACTCGAACATGCACTGAAACCTGAAGACATCGGGGACATGGTTTTGTTTGTACTTTCGCGACCACCTCATGTTCAGGTATTTAGCGCTATAGGTGTATAATCAACGAAATGATTTTGTCAATTCATAGATTCACGACATTCAAGTTAGATCAGTCGGTGAAATAGTTTAAAGAAGTCGATTGGAATACTACAATTAGTTTTTTTAGTCGATAGTCGGAAAAATGGCATATTATTGTTTTGTTTATGTCATCACAAAGCATGTGATTTCCGTACTGTACGGGAATCTTAATTCCTGTACAGTACGGGAAAATATCTATATTCTTGTGAGCATGAAAAAATAAAAGAACAGTTATACACGCAAATGAATAGTTTATTGCCTATTAATATGTACATTAATAGTACAATTATTGCAGGTTCCAATCAAATTTGATAGTCCAGTCAATGTCGACTCTACTTCATAATTAATTGAAGAAGTGGACTCCGTATTTGTTTTGGAGATGGTGCTAGTAGAGACGCCAACATTGCTTGCACCCTTACACTGAATATGTGCGCCAGAAATTGAAGTAACTATTCTCTCTGCCACATCCATTTTATTTTTTAAGGATTCTTCTATATATCCTTCCGCCACATTCGACGATTTCCAACCGCCGTGACGTTTTAAAACAGTCAAATCTGCACCATTATCTACCAAAATTGTCGCAGATGTCCTTCGAAAACAATGTCCCGTGTAAAGGTTTGCATCGGACAGTTTCAAAAAGTTAGCAACGATTTGTGGAATGCTGGCAAATGTATGCACCCCCACTACTTGCTTAAATCCTTTACCATTATGGTATTTGAAGAAAAACCTATTGCAGTGAAAATTGGATGGTCGAACGGCTGCATATTTACGGTATGTTTCTAAATAAGTGTCGTTTACTATAAACGACCGTGGTTTATTGGTTTTGTTGCATGGAATCTTCACCAGTAGTTGTGAACCCAAATCCTCAATGTCCGTAAGCTTTATGTTACATAACTCCTCTCGCCGACAGGCGCCATAAATTCCGAAAATTACCACAACCTAAAAAAATTAAATTATAATCTTCAGGCCTTTCAATTAAAATCTTACTTTAGCCATGAGGTAAGTATCATCTGGAGCGTTCATCATAAATTCTCGGATTTGTTCGTTGGTGAAGACTTTCGACTTCTTTGCTTTGTAACCCACGGATTGCTTTTTCAAATATGCTCGCAGTTTGTTATATGAAGTGATGTCTACATTTTGCTTTAACATAAGAGTGGCCTTCAACATGGAGTAATTTGCCCAAAGTGTTGAGGGTTTCATCTTTTTCGACAAATCAAGAAAATATCCGAGTACCACATTTTCCGAAAACGAATAAGTTCCTTTACTTGATCTATATTCCATAAAACGTTGATAAGCATTTTCATACTTCCCCTCGATTTAGTTGGCAACAGATTAAGAGTAGCTTCATTGACTGCCTCCAAAACTTCAGGTGGTGTTCTACAAAATAAATCTTCATCAAAATTACCATCGATATCCATTTTATATTAATATTGCACATCAACTAATTATAAATTCACTCAAACGAAAAAATTTTCGATTTGTTTACGTCATGTCCATGGTAACGTTCAAACAATGCATGCTCGGAAAACAAACTTGATGTTTGCATTTATTAAACGGTAAATAAAAAAAAGGCGCCGCCCGGGTTCGATCCTCGCACCTATCGCATACAAGCCTAGACTAATGACATTAGACCAAATGACAATTGGTGAAAATTAAATTTAGTTTGAAATGGTATATTTGGTGTTTTAACTATTGGCTATCGACTAAAAAATAGTATGTACAACACGTAGGAAAAGTATATTCCTGGACTCTGATAGTTGTAAGCCTCGGCTAACGCCTCGGCTTACAATCACTATCATCGTCCAGGAATATGCAACTTTTCCTACTTGTCATACAATCTACTATTTGTGTAAATAAATTAAAACAACTCAAATTAGTTAAACCCCACTTGAAACTAATCTTTCCTTGGTCTTAATAAAGACCATACCAGCGTCATCGTCTTTGAAAGAAAGAGAAGCGCAATGTTCCCAAATCACGTTCTTCCTGAGCACATGGCAAAGTATGTGGTCCTTGAGTAAATAGAGAAAAAATATGAATAGGAAGCCCCCGATTAAAATATCGTAGTAAATAACAAAGTGGGGGTGCGCTTGCGCAGAAATGGAAACTTATTCGACATTCTTTTTTTCCCCGCTCACCCTACCTCTTGAAACCTATTAAATAAATTTAAAAAATATGTTAAAAATAAAAAAAAAATTCGATGATGGTCGCGCTAGTGATTGATTAAAGTATATTTTTCATCAGACGTAAGTACCTACTTACCGACCCTTCGACACGTGTTTAATTGTTTTTACTAGACGGACGTAGGTAATATCAAAACTGTATAAAAATCGCTCGATATACGGGGTGGTGATTTGACGAACGCACCATACGGATCCGTACATACTATTATTTCCTTTTGATAAATTCAGAAACATTAAAAATTTAAAAATTAAAAACTGTCGCGTTTATAAAGTCGGTAATGCCATGGAGTTATGAGCTTTGTTAGATCTCAAACTGTCATGGCACCACTGATTTTCTTAAAAGCGCCAGTTTTTAGTTATCCAATTTCTTGGTTTCAAAGTTTAAAAAATTAATAGCCACAGTATAGATGGATTCGTAATTTTTTTTCTTTACAAAAAACCTAAAATAATTAGGGAAGCCAATAATCAGAAATGAAAAAAATACTATTGAAATTCCTATGGTGCGTTGTTCAAGTCACCGCCCGGTATAAGAAAATTAGTTCTGTAAATGCGCATGAGTATTTATGAAAAAAACTCGCGGTATTTTACATCAAACAATAACAATGTATAATCAATTGCGAAAATTCGAGTGCAAAAGGGCAAAGTAATTTTGGTGATACTCAATAATCGAAAAATGTATATTATAAAAATAAAAGGTTCAGCCTAGTGAATTGTAAATGGACGTCAATGCAACAGAGAATGAGTACATTACCTACTTCGATCCCTATGAAGGAAGTGTTTTACTTTTACCTTTTATAAATTTATTATTGTTCGACTTAATGTCTTTATTTTGGCATTTTACAAATGAACAACTGATGGCACAGGAAAATAGATTGCCATACAAAAGAATCAATAGTTCATACAGAAAAAATCGCTATATCTAAATCCTCAAAGGACGAAGTGTACGAAAAAAAAGAAATGTTTTTTCGTGCTCTTGCACTTAACCCAGAAAAATAAACACAAAATTAACAGTAAAGTAAAGAGTTCCCGAATACAGTATTAACCCAAACTATGAATCTTAAAAATAGAAAAGACAATGAGTTAAAAGAAAAAAATGAAAAACGATATAAAGAAAGGAAAATGAAACAAGTGTAAATTGTGCACAACTCTTGCAGATAAAGCGCATTTTTAAAACCGAAATAGCTTAGTAAATGGTTGCGTTATAAGGTAGTAGCATGGTATATTTATCGATGTTTCCTTTCTTGTTAGATGATTAATGGGGAGACCAATAGATATGCTCGTCAGGACAATTCATTTTGCCATTGTGGGTACTTTCCTCCGACAAAACGTTTTCGAGATATTCGCTCGTAGAGTTTTGACATCATCAATAGATATATTTCTTCCAGGCATCTCAATCGGCCTTTGCGAGTATATCCTCCAACAATCTGTGCTTGAAATGTAAGGAATTATTATATCCAGTCCCCTTTCCATCCCCTTTTACAATTAGGTGTCAGAAAGTAGGGCGGGTAGTTGGTAAGAAATAGTTCCTTTTGTTGAGACCTTTAATTGGAATACCATGAAAGATAAAATTAATTTCTACCCCCTCCCACCTCCCTTCAGCCATCGATTGATCTCGGAAAAGAGTCGCGCACGAAAATTATAGTTTGTACAAACCAATTCATTTCGGTGAGACCTTTCATTACGATAGAATACCATGAAGGGTAGAACGTGTGTTCGCCCCCACCCCCCTCCCATTTTCAAAAATTTTACGTGACAGTGGGCATGCGTATGCAAATTCTGAGACTAGTTGGTTGCAGCATGTAACAGTTATGCACATTTTACATTCAAGAACAGCATCTCACGAAATAATTAAGGGGGGGGGGGCTTGAGACAGCGAAATTTGATGGCCATCTGGCACACCTTCCAGATATGGGTACATATTGCAAAAAATTCCAGGACTCTAGGACCATTCCCCTAAAACTAGTTCAAAAACCGCACACGCGGGTATGGACGGACGGACGGACAAAACGCAAACAATAGCACGTTTGGAAAAAAGAATGGCGAGTAAGTTTCCATTTCTGCGCAAGCGCGTTCCAACTTTGTATTTACTAAGATATTTTGACGAAATTTTAATTGGAGAATTCTTTTTAAACACTTGACGGCATTTCATTTTTAGCACATTTTTTAAGAATTAAAAAAATCTGCTATTGTTTGCGTTTTGTATGTTCGTTCGTGCGGACCCACTTCTGCCGTTTTGAACTACTTCTAGGGGCAGTAGTAGCCTATAACGTGAAGGTATGCCAGACGGCCATCAAATTTCGAAGTTTCTAGCCCCCCCCCCCCCCCATGAATTATTTCCTGAGATGCTGTTTTTGAAAGTAAAACGTGCATAAATTTTACATACGACCCTTCATGGTATTCTAATGAAAGGTCTCATCGAGATAAATTGGTTTTTTACGAACTATATAATTTTCCAGTTTTTTTACCAACTTCTTTATCAAAAGAAAGGGTTGGAGATGGGGGAGGGGGGGGGGAGTAGAACTAGTTTTATCCTTCATGGTGGTTCATTAATTTCTACCAACCATAGTCCTCCTACTCGACCCCTTATCGTGATCGGATATATTTCCTTATATCTCAAGAATAGATTGTCAGAAGAGTGTACTCACAAAGGGCGATTGGGATGTCTGGATGACATATATCCATTGGTGATATCTGATATCAAAACAAGAGCGAGCGAATACCTCGAAAACGGTTTGTCGGAGGAAAGTACTCTCAAAGGCAAAATGAATCGACTGGACGAGACATATCTGTTGGTGAAGTCAAAGCTTTCAGTGCAAATATCTGCAGAATGAAGCGTTGGAGGATTTTGAATGTATGCCAGGCGGTCTTTCAGGTTTAAAAAAATGCGCTTTATCCAGGTAGTTTTTTTCTAATATGAATTGCGGAGTGAGCGAGTCCGATCGCCCTTTGAGGATAGACAATCGCTTAATCGCCTCGCCCAGAATTCGAGAATGGCCCACTTCAGTACCTCTGCTATTCATCAACTCCTAATTTTTCAGACACAAGAATGCCAGAGTGGCCTGCTCTCTCGTTTTCGTTAAACCGTGGTGGCGTAAAGCCATATCTATTGTTTCGAAGGTTGTTTTGTCAAAATCCCATTCTACTATAAAATACTCCCAGTGTGGACTGTAGTACAGAGACATATCAATCCGCCCTACGATGCAGTGCAGAGCTGACCTCCTGGGGAGTATGCGTGTTGGTTAGGGTGCAGTGGAAACCCCCGTATCCCTTATATACCTTATATAACTATCGCGCAGTCTTTCAAGTGTCTTAAGAAGAAAAGACATCAAACTGATGGGCGGTAAGCTTTGGGTGTAATCACCTGTGCCATGTCTGGGGGTAAAGACAATTTTTTATCTCTCTCCATTGTTTAGGTATACCTATATCTGAAAGCGATACAGCCCGTATACAGTGACATTTATTACGAAGTAGACATAGGGATTTACGTGTTTTTCCCTATGTCTACTTTTAAGACAAAATCTCTTCTGAAGGGCGCCTAATTTTATGCATCCAAAATAATGTTTTAAAACAAATAAACATTTGGCTGTCATATTAATTAGTTTGAATATTATTGCTCTGGCTTAACACATAAGAAATCTTTTACGCTCCTGTTATACCAATTGACAATATCAACTTCTTCTTCAGTTGAATACATCGCACACGAACGAAAATAAAAATACGGAACCCAAAGCAACAATATTCAAATTAATTAATGTGACAGTCGGATCTTCATTTGTTTTAAGAAGTTATTTTGGTTGCATAACATTAGGCGCCCTTCAGAGGAGATTTTGTCATTTAAAAGTAGACATAGAGAAAAACAATACACATAAATCCCTATGTCTACTTCTTAATGAATAATTACCACCGTATATTCTCACTATTTTTTTTAGTAGGTAGATGACACTAAGTAACATCATTGGGGAAAATTTCGCCATTCTTTCTCAAAGACTGTGCACGGGGAAAATTTGGTGAAACTAAAAGTACATTTAGTGTGGTCTTGATGAAGTGTAAGGGATGATTGCTATGCAACGACTCAAAAAAAATCAGTTGTAAGTGGGGTCTAACTAATTTGAGGTGTTTTAATTCATTTACAGAAATTAATTGGAGTATTCTACTCGTAATTGATTTGTTTAAACTATTTCACCGGTTGGCCTAACCAGAATGTCGTGAATCTATGGATAGACAAAATCATTTCGATGGCTATACATGTATAGATCTAAATACCTGAACATGAGGTGGTCTCGAAAGTACAAACAAAACCATATCGCCGATGTCTTCAGGTTTTAATATTTGCTCGATCAAGGGAAACCACCCCTTTACAGCTTCATTGTGCTCAATAATTTCGGTATTCCCGACAAGACCAGGATTGATGCACTAAAAGTTGATCTTACTCGAAGAAAGCCGCGTGTGATTTTTACCGATATTTTAATTTGGCTACCGACTTCGAGCAGTTCTTGTCGCAACCCTTCCGTCAAAGATCGTACCGCATGCTTGCTGGCACAATACATTCGTAATCCCTTCACAGGGGCTGATGATATGCATCCTGTCAGGCTTCCTATATGTATAATTTCGCCAGCTATATTGTTGGCTCTCATCGATTGTACAGCTTCCCTTGTCATCATTGATAAACCCAAAACATTAAGGTCTAGAATATCATTCCAACACGTCGTCTTCCCATCGATAAGTGTAGTTTCGCGCGTCGTACCCGCGTTATTTACCAAAATGTGAACCACTCCCAAATTACATTCGATCCATTTAAACGCGTTGAGTACCTCTTGCTCCTTTGTAATATCGGCGGTGAGATGATAGAATCTACCTTTTTTCCCATCCAAAGCCAGCTCAAGTTCTCGACCGCGATCCTCGCGTCTGGCGATACCCACAACCTGAAAATGCATTACGGTCCCTGCAAGTCAATGGGATACACTTACACGCAGTCCAGCCTCCACCAATTTGATTGCAATTCCCCGGCCGATGCCGGAGGAAGTTCCTGTGACTATTGCAAGCTTTCCTTCCCATTTCTCCATGGTTACTACTGTGAAATATTTGTGTTGAAGCACGCTATTATAAAGTTATCTTCCTCTTGCGATAAGGACGTGTTATCGACTGTTAAATGAAAAGCAAACCGCCTTACGTTGTGTACCAAAAGTTTCAAGTTTCACAATGGAGCATTTTTTTTGTGGAGGTTGATAACCGTAAATTGAGGATGTGATTTTGATTTGTGACTTAAAACAGTACAGGAACAATACTTGAATTCCACAAGGTTGAATGCTGGGACCCATAGTGTGCTGGAACAAATTTCCATCTAACGATTCATTGCTGGAATCCAGATACTGACATTCAGCAGGCAGTGAGATGGTCTCGTCCGAAGTCAATCCTGGAAGCTGCACTAGAAATTGATGCCACGAAACCATTGATGCACCAATCACACGCAAAAAAAGATAGAAAATCTAGAACACCGTGGAAAGAGTCGCCCTCAATGTTAAGTGCACGCAAAAAGTCCCAGGAACCCAGATTCGTCGGAAAACTAAGCAGGATCGATGAGATGGCGCAATCGTCGATCCGTCCCCGCATCAAGCCCATAGCCAAGACTATAACTGTCGCATCACCCTATGGCTTGATTAATGGAAAACCAAGGAGTATGCTGATGGATACGGGTGCCACGGGGCACATCGGCTTATTAATACCGCATGCCGATTAGGTACTGCAATTAGAGATGTCGCCAAAGTAACATGGATTGACCAATGTTCATATCGCTATCAGGACGACTATCGTGCGCTGGTAGCGGACATCGAGGAAAATATCATCTTGGGTAGGGACATCATGGGCAGATACGGTTTTTAACTTGATCTCAAACAGGGACTATTGAAACTGGAAGATAAAGAATTGGCGTTGTATCAGCGAGAGGACAGGTAGAAGTGACACATTCGTTAAGGAACGGTTGGAGGGAACTGCCACGAGACGATGAAAATAGTCCAAGATATGAAGGAGGAAAATGTGATTGTAGTTGTAGTAAGTAGTCCTTGGGCTTCTTCGGTAGTTCTTATGAAGAAGAAAGACGGTCCTGCCAGGATTGGTGTGGATTTTCGTCAACTAAACAACGTGACTAAGAAGGACGCATATCCGTTACCGAAAATTGTCGACACTTCTGATACGCTGGTTGAATATTCACAACGTTACATTTACAAAGAGTTAAGAGACTTCCAGAAGATAAGGAAAATACGGACTTTCCCTTTGGATCAGGAACCTTGAAGAGTATCTGCTGATCCGAAAAAGACAGCGCGATGCAAGATAGGCCCGCTTCAAAGAATAAACACTAAGTTTACTAGTTTATGTACCGAGTGACCCAATAAGACTGTTCCTCGGCCATATCTCGAGAACCGTTCGTCATATGACTTAGGGGTAAAAAAATTATTGGGTAAATCGTTCATGAAGAATCGCTGGAAAATACTTTCAAGTTATAAAAATGACCAACAGAGGGCGTAACTGCCTTAAATTTTAAAATTGCATTTTCTTTATATTGCGCATGATAAACTAAAATTTTTTTTTCACATTTTTAAAGAGAACCAGTTTATGTATCATTTTCGTAAAAACAAAAACTCAGTTATTTAAAAAACAAAGATGGTGCGAGGCGTTCAATTGTTTTTGCAACAATCTTCTTTAACTTCTTAACGGTTTGACCGATTTTAACAAATTTGGTATGGCTGAAAAGAGCATTCCTTGGGCAATGAGAATCAACCAAAATATAGTTAATCTAGTTGAATCCTTCTCCGCCAGGGGGCTAGTCTCACCGCCGATATTACAAAGGAGGAAGAGGTGCTCAAAGCGTTTAAATGGATCGAAAAAAATTTGGGAGTGGTTCACATTTTGGTAAATAACGTGGGTACGACGCGTGAAACTACACTTGCCCATGGGAAGACGACCTGCTGGGAAGATATTGTGGACCTTAATATTTTCGGTTTATCCATGATGACAAGGGAAGCTGTAAAATCGATGCGAGCGAATAACATAGCTGGAGAAATCATACATATAGTAATCGTGGTAGGTGCCATACCATCATCCCCTGTGAAAGGATTACGAATGTATTGTGCCAGCAAGCATGCGGTACGAGATTTGACAGAAGGGTTGCGAGCAAAACTGCTCGAAGTAGGTAGCGAAATTAAAGTCTCGGTAAGAATCAGGTACTAGCGACTTCCTTCGACTTCAACTTTCAGTGCCTCAATGTTGGATTGGTCGGAGATACGGAACTAGCCGAGCTCAATGAAGAGATAAAGGGGTGGTTTCCCTTTATGGAACAAACATTGAAACCTGAAGACATCGGAGATATGGTTTTGTTTGTACTTTCAAGACCACCTCATGTTCAGGTATTTAGCCCTATATAACCAACGAAATGATTTTTTCAATCTATAGATTCACGATATTCTGGTTCGACCAACCGGTGAAATAGTTTAAAGAAGTCGATTGGAATACTCCAATTAATTTCTGCAAATCAATTAAAACACCTCAAATTAGTTAAACCTGACTTACAACTAATTTTTTTGAGTCGTCCCAAGGAAATCTTCCTCGTATCATTATACTAGAGGTACCATTAGTTTCACCAAATTTGCACCGTGCAACGTCTTGGAAAAAAAATTGCTGTGGCTAGCACAGATACCACCTGCGCATGCGCGTTCTGCTCCAAAGCTTTTCAGCTCTTCCTTTTATGTCTAAGAATATGTGTACCAAATTCCAATCGGTTCAGCCGTTTAGCCGGAAATGAGAATACAGATGGACCGACAGACAGACCGTGCTTGAAAACGTGTATTTCCGTAAATTTTATTCGTTATATTCGTTATGGCTGGCTGGCCGGCTGTCCGGGTGAGATCTCAGCAACTACAATAGCTAGAGACTTCAAATTTTCACTAAAAGCTTTCTGCTATAGTGTAGATGTGCAGGCTCTAGTCTATTTTGAGTTAGATTACTTGTGAGATCGATAATTTAAGAAAATAATTTCGATATGGTGTTCGGAGGTGCTATAATTTTACCGTTAGATAGCGCTACCAGTATAAAAACTTAATTATTTACCCTCAATTGAAATTAAATAATAGTATATTAAGATACAAGTGTATAATCAAGTCTTTAAAGTACGTGCAACGAGTTTAATGGCACGACGCGAAGCGGAGTGCCTTTAACGTTGCAAGTGCTTTAAAGACCAATTATACACGTGTATCTTATAGTATTTTTTATTATACCTGCAGTATAATTTAAAAATAGGAAATACAATGAAATCATATTGACGTTATACTGGAATACATGTCTAATTTAAGGGTCGGTTTTACAATTACACTTTTACGGAGAATAAGATATTCTTGGAATAAGTGCCATAGCAACATGTATGCCATTGGTTGACAAAATGGTAACCAACGCAACCGTCGACATTTATTCTAGGTATAGCTTATTCTCGGTATATACCTTCATTGTAGAATCGGCCCTAAGTGGGCTGGGTGTTCGTAATTTCACGACTGCCATGGAAATGTCACTTGACGTTTGCTTATAAAAATCATCGTCTTTGTGAATAAAACGATTTCCGTTGAGAAAGATAATACACCGTCCATTAAATCTAATAATTTTAAACTTCGCTAATAAAATACTGACCTGTATTACCAAAAATGCGCTTTAATCATGCATATGCTGATTTACAACTTGTTTACCCCAATGCAATACCTTCCTTACTAACGTGCGGGTGGTAAAAAAATAGAATAGCCGTCAAGTGCAGATGCGCAGAAATGGAAATTTACTCGACATTCGCTTTTCTTTTCGTCCACTCCATGTGTTGAAACCCATTAAATAAAAAACAATACAGGTTTCTCTACCAGAGTGCTGAGATCTCACACCCTTCCACGGACGGATGATCAGAATTCACATATAAGCTGTATGTTCCGTGAAAATTATGTTAAACAAGACTTTGAACTCGCTCAAGAAAATTGTAAAAACATTCGCAAAACGAAAGGAACCGCCAAAGATAGAATGATTGAATTTGTAGTTTTAAATTTTTGGGTGAATCCAGATGTGAATCCCTAAACGGGGGGTGTGAAAAAAAAATCAACACCAATTCAAAATTTCGTTTTTGAAAATCCAAAAAATTCAACCGCAATTCTTGATCAGACCACAAAAATGGTTAGACTTTTTTTATCGCATTTTTTAAGAATTAAAAAAAATGTGCTATTGTTTGCGTCTTGTCCGTCCGTCCGTCCGGGCCCACTTCTGCCGTTATGAACTACTTCTAGGGGAATGGTTCTAGAGTCCTGGAATTTTTTGCAATAGGTAGTCTATACCTTGAAGGTGTGCCAGACGGCCATCAAATTTCGCAGTCTAAAAGGCCCCCCCCCCCTCCACCAATTATTTCCTGAGATGCTGTTTTTGAGACTAAACCGTCCATAACTTTTACATACGACAACCAATTGGTCCCAGATTTTGCATGCGCATGCCTTTAGTGGTGCCAAGTTAAACTTTAGAAATTGGGGGGGGAAACACATGTTCTACCCCTTCATGGTATTCTAATGAAAGGTCTCATCGAAGTTTGTACAAACTAGCCCCCCCCCCCCACGAATTATTTCCTGAGATGCAGTTTTTGAAAGTAAAACGTGCATAACTTTTACATACGACAACCAATTGGTCTTAGATTTTGCATACGCATGGCTTTAGTAGTGCCAAGTTAAACTTTAGAAAATGGGGGGGGGGGGGTTAACACATGTTCTACCCTTCATGGTATTCTCATCGAAATAAATTGGTTTGTACAACCTATATCTTTTCCGTGCAACTCTTTTTCGAGATCTGTGAGTGACGGCGCCTGAGAGGGGGAAGGGGTTAAAAATTAATTTTATCTCTCATTGTATTCTAATTAAAGGTCTCAACGAAAGGAACCGTTTTCTACCAATTACTGCCCTTCTTTCTGGCCTCTTATCTAAGTACTAGGTGGAGGGGGAGGGGGGGGGGGGGAACTACTTTTATCCTTCATGGTACTCTAATGAAAGGTCTCAACGAACGGAATTAATTTCTACCAAAAAGGTCATAATTGGTGAAGATTTTGAAGGGGTTGTGGGTGTTATTCTCACCAACTTCGACGCCACTGGAAAAAGTACGGTTTTGAGAT